TTAGTTCTTACCAGATTCTGCCCAGCACATCAAACAGAGAAAAATGTATACTTTCATTTGGAATCCAATAAAAGTAAAAGCAGCACTATGAGTCAGCAAAAAAGAAATTCTGAAATTCATTAAGGTTTCTCTTTAGTAAGATTGTCAGAGTCTGGTAGGTTTTAGCATAAAAGATTCCTGACCTTTTGCTCCTCCCTGTTTGTAGAAAAGGTAAGGTAGTTTGTCTTCTCTTATCTGGCTTGTGGTGGTGAGAGGATTTTTAAGTCAAAACTCTAAGAAGTCACCAACAGCAGCCCAAGTTAAATTTAAGGAAAGAAAAACTAATTACATCTTTCTTTATTCCTCTTAACCTCAAGATTTCAGAAGTGGTCAGGAAGAATATGTCTGTTCAAAGCCTAGAGTAAATGTGATGTTAAAAAATGCTAGAAATGGAAAGAGTCAGAAAACGTTGTGGTTTATGTTCATTTTGATTACAAACTAAGTTGTCTTCATATACCATAAAATCAATAATAAAATCCATATCCATCAAGCTGTCAAATATAAAATATGGCTTTTTCATGTTAGTGTAATTTTGCAACCTAAACTCAGTGGCTATTTTAAAATTCTAAAATGCTGGGTTGCCCTTGAGTTCTACAATTGGAAAATAAAAAATATTTTTGTTTTTAATTTAACAAACATTTTAAAATTATGGGATTTCCCCCCCACATGTTAACTCCATTTTTCCCCTTATTTTCCTTCCAGGAATAGACTTTAGTAGGTCTGGAAAATGGAGAACTGTTGTAAGTACACGCGTGATCAGTTCAAAAATTAAGTTTGTTTTTTTTTTGTAAATTCAAGTCTCTGTAAATTTCCAAAGATATTTCAAGATCAGAAGTCCCTAATTCATATCATCGATTAGCAGAAACTAATCAAGGTCTGGGAGGTATTTCAAAGAATCCACAAACAAAATGAGGTATTCATTTAAAAACCATGAAAAATTTAAAAATCATCAATTTAAACTATTTGATCTCCAGGGATTTTATGTGAGACTTCACTTTTAGAAGGAGCCCACTACTATAATTTAACTGGAGACCACCAATGCACTTCGCTAACAAAGATAGGAATAAACCACATCATTTTGGAATGAGGGAAGAAAGGTAATATAAATGTCATACATGTTAAAAGAGATTTTTAACAAGTTTATACTTAAATTAAAAGACAAATCTTTTCTATTTAACATTTTTCTTTTATCTTGTGCTTTTAATGTGACTCTGAAATATTAATCTTATACATTATTTTCATCTCAACTATTCTGAAGAGCTCATATTGAAAATATCAACTTGGCATGTAAAACAGTACGCTACATAGCAGAATTTCAAAATGTAAAAAACTATACTATTTTCATAGTTTTTACTTACTGTCAGTAGTAATAAAATTGAAATTACCATCCATTGCATTAAATAGCAAAATACTGAGAAATGGCAAATTATATAAAGTGTCCATAGTTTAGTAAGAGAATATTTCCATGCTTATTTAGTGCTCCTTCAAAATAAAAACTGACTTTAAGTTTACAGACATGGATACAATATAAATAATATGATAAAAGTGATAATGAGGATGATAAGGATAAAGATATAAAATTAATTGAGCCCTGTGAGGGAGACTTGGGTGGCTCAGTGGATTAAAACTGATTGAACCCTGTGTACCATGTACACTTCTACCAGGCACTTTACAGTAATTATAATGGAAAGTTAAGTAGTGTATACTGGAGATGGGGGAGTCGTTGTTTATGAGAATTTATTTTGGCACAATCTTTTTGTATAAATTAGAAATATGTGTCAAAATATTTAATGGTCTTACCCTTTGATGCAGCAATCAAATGTCCAAGATATTTTCCCACAGAAGTACTAACCCATGTGCACAAAGACATATGAGCAAGGATGTTAATCTCAGCATTTTTATAATGGCTAAAAAAGGGGAATAATGTAAATGTCCAACAGTGGGGTATTGGCCTAATTATGTATGTACTGTGGATTAAAATTAATGATGTAGATAAATCAATATTAATGGTATAGAAAGTCTCCATTCCATAGTTCAAGGGGAGAAAAGGCAAGCTACAAAATAATATGTAGAGTAAAATTTATTTTCCTAAAATATGTTTTACACATATATGCATTGATCCAAGTTAGGTTTTCTTCCAAAATGTTTATCCCTGCATGGTAGACTTATTGATGTTTTTTTTACTTTATTTCTTTAAGCATTAAAAATATTTCTTTACCATAAGCATCTAAAATAAGTAAAACAAAAAAAGCTCTATTTACTTGGGACAAATATGGTTAGGATAATCAGAATAAAGAAAAAACGAAGGTAGGAAAAAAGTGAAGACAAAAGTGAGGTCAATTTTAGCAAAAGCATCCACTAGAGTCCCTTAACACTATTTGATCAAGATTCTCCATTCACTCATTCATTTATGCAACTTTTATTAAGCATGTACTGATTTCTGGGCATAATGTAGTTGAACACACAAAGTAAAGACGTTCATTTATTCAAACTGTATCATGTCAACAACTATTTAAGATACATCCACAGGTATGTCAGGGATTGTCCTAGGTACTAAAATATATTTACCCTATAGAAATTCACAGTGAGGAGGGCTTGAAAAAGGTATGTCTAGGGAACCATGGCACCACACAGCAGGGAAGCCAGCTAATCTAGAATGCAGAGTTCAGAGAAGCCTTGTAGGAGATGCTACCTGGGCTGGACTGTAAAAAAGAGTTAAGAGTCAGTTGGGCAAAGAAAGGAAGAAAGAAGCTCTTGTTTTAGATGGATAGATAGATAGACAGACAGATAGACAGATTTATATACATGGCTTATAATTTTATATATTATATATAAACATTTTCATTTTTGAATATATGAAGTTAGGGGTATAAAACATCCTGATATGAGTGAAGAAAGGCTAATTCTTTATAGTATTACACACATTTAATCCATTAAATCCTATATTTGACTAATGGTCCAAGAAATGCTGAGAATAAATTATTTTTTAGCTACTGCTAGGTTCATTACCATGTGTTACTTATTCAATATAAGTTAGGAAATACAGTAAGCCTAAATTAGAAAAATGATACACATTTAGGTCAAATTCTGAATAAACAGCTAACTGCGTGAGCTGACTTTCAGAGCTTATAATACTAAAAGAGTACTCTAGAAGTCTAAACACCATAAACTCAGGTCCTGCCAAAAGAAAAAAGGATGTGATAAGAATGCTAAAATCATACATATTTGTTTTTTTTTAAAAAGTATGATGCAAACTTCAGTATAGCAAAACAGTATGGTTGTTAATTATTTATAAATACAGCTAAAAGCTTCTATCATTCACAATCAGATGTGACTGAGGGGAAGTTAAAGAAGGAATATGTTCATTTGGGTAAGATTTATGATATAAAATGAATTTAAAATCAAAAGTATTACACATAACTAAGACCTTCAGGTATCCATTCACTTGATCAACATATATTTGTTATACAACTGCAATATGCTAGTTTCCTTAATCCCCTTTTACTGTACCACAACAATGTTGAAGAAAGGAAGAAAGGAAAAACGGAGACAGGACTTACATCCTTAGGATATCGACAGAAGGTGACTATTAAAGTTACCGAACCATGATTTTGTTGGGAAGTCTGTCTCTCTCCTTATGCTGAAGGCTTTAGGAGGACATATCTTTATACTTAAACCTTTGCTCCCCAAGGATTAAAGACAGTGCCTGGCACATAGCAAGCATTCAAAAAATACCTACTAAATGAAGTACTGTAATTACATTAACCCTATCCACTCCTTAAGAAATAGAACTTGAGTTCCAAAAAGAGAAATTGCTTAAAGTCATAAAATTAATGTCAGAGTTAAATTAGAAATCAGGGTTCCAAAGATGTGTTCCTTTTCATTAAAAAAGATGGGGCTTTTTTGGTCCACCAACCACGTACACTCATGCCTCCTTCAAGGCAAAGTGAATTATCACCACTCCTAACTAACAGCCAAATGATGTCCTGATTGCTTGTATATTCATAGGATAATTTCAGGTCTTTCATAGACCTATGGATTCTTCAGAAAGGAAGCCAAGTTAACAGTAGACAGTTGATTTATCTATCTACTGAGATTCTGAGTGGGTTTTCTTCTCCCTTTCTTTCTTTTTTTTAGGATTTTTTTTTCCCTAACCCTCCTCAAGAATTGATTACTCACCCACTGTATACAAAGTACAGCCGTGATACAAAGTATAAACATTGACTCCCGCTACAAGCGGGATTCCATCCTCAAAACTTCAGGCTTCAGTCACAAAACTTGCTATACTCTTGGTAGTGTTCCTCGGTAGAGGCCGTTTTTTCAATTTTCAAATGCCTTCTGGCGTCCACCTAAAACCTCTGTGGCCCATTTTCAAAGACTTCTCTCGGGCGTGCTTCCTAGGTAAATAACCTTTAATTCTAGGACTCTGTTATATTTCACATCCACATCTAGGCATGCAGGATTTACTGTTTCAAAAAAGTATTTTATACTGTATAAAAAGTATTTTGTATAGAAGTATTTTATATAAAGTATTTTATATAAAAAAGTATTTTATACAGAATATAAATTCAAACTCCTAATGATTTATTCATTCACTCCTAGGAAACTAATCTTCCCCCATTATCCTGGGAGCTCCCTTACTGCAGCTAGTACGTCTTAAAACATCTCTACAGACATTTTACTGAAAATGTTGACTGAATAAATGCAAAGTCAATTAATAATGCCCTATCTAGGAAAATGGAAGGCACTCCACAAGCTAGACGCCAAAACTCCGAGCGCAGTAATCTCTTTTATTATTCTCACTCACTCTCCTAGGGTCTCCGCGGCATCCCACGCACGTGGAGACGCGATGGGCGGCTCCCTCAAGCCTCTGGGGGGCGTGGCCCCGCAGCCTCGCCCCGCCCCTGGCGCGCGTGCTCCCGTCGCCGGCTCCGCTCCCTTGTTCCGAGCGGCGCAGAAAAGCGACGAGAGGGGGCGGGATCTGGAGACCTCCTCCATCCTCGGGCCGAGACCGGAGGGATGTTCCCTGCTCAGGAGGAGGCCGACAGGACGGTGTTTGTGGGGAATTTAGAGGCCCGAGTAAGGGAGGAGATTCTTTACGAGCTATTCCTTCAGGTATCGTCGGCCGGGGGCGGCGGAGGGGCGGGCAGCATCGAGCCGGAAGCACAGCCGGAGGGGCGGGGCGCACCTGGACCACCCGAAGCCCGGCCACTTTCCCGCGGCATCCTATGCCTGGGTTTATAATTTTGTTCCGTTTTGGCACATCTGCCCCTAGGTGAGCAGCTGGTAGTGAAGTGATAGAATATGTGCTCCATCCCCATAGTAGAGCCCTGGGGGTGGGCGGTGACTTGGCTCTCCCCAGTCCATGTCCCCCATCCCCCGCCAAAGCTCTCTCCGCTTTGCGGAGACTACCTGGGCCTTGGGTGTCTAGGGCAAAACAGCCGTGTCACTACCTTCCTTCGGGTAATAAGAACCATCACGCCTTACATCCAGCGAAATGATTGGTATAGATTTTAAAACGTTGCCCTATACATTACTTATTCCCCCAAACCCTTTCATATGGAGGGTGTTTTTACTCCCAATATGGTCAAGTGAGATTTAATGATTCGGACAGTCAAATCCTGACTATAACCAGTTGATTGCCTGGGTAGTTCCTTACATTTCTTTTCATGCCAAGAAGACCTTTTGGAAACTTCTCGAGACTTAGGACCTTCATGAGTAAGCCTTCTGTCCCCTGTAAACACTCACCTATGGTATACATGTAGGTGTCACTTCTAACGTGATCTACTCATCCAGCCATTCATCTAGCCGTTACATGACAAACACGAAATAAAATGCTGAACATACAAAGTTAAGAGCTAGCCCTTGGTCTTTCTAAAAGGGGAAATTTAAAATTAATTACCATGATCCAGGGTAATCCAAAAAGAGAAGGATACATAATATATTGTAATTGTTTGGGGATATGAACTCTAATGTCTTAACGTCTAACGTCGATGGGACTTTGGGCAAGTAAATGAATATCTCAGTTCTGCAGTTTTCTTTAAATGTCAAATGGTAATAGCATCTACAATATAATGTGGTGGGAAGATTAAATAAATTAATCCAGGTAAAACAGAATTGAACTTGGCATTTCTAAGTGCTTGCTGCTGCTACCGCTACCAGTAATAGTACTATTACTAAAACTGCTAATACTAATATCAAGAGAAATCAAGAAAGACAGACATCCCCCTATCAGAATAAGGGCAAGTTGCAAGGCAGACAATGGCAAAACTAAGTTTCTAGGACTAAGTGATAGTACTAGTGATGAAAAGTGTTCGCTACATAGTTTTTGAAAGGCCCTAAGTTTCTGTCTTCTGTTAATTTCAAATACAATTTCATAAAGACAATCACCTCCTCCCCCCCCCCCTCCCCCAGGAACACAGTTTCCTTTCCTGGACATAAAACCTTACTATTTGAAAAATACTGTTGATTTTAAGGCTTTTATGCTTACTTTTCTAATTTGCCATCTTTTTGAATTTGTCCTTTTTAATCTGCTCTGATAGTTGTCTTATAGTTATTTCCCCCAATATCATTTGAAACTTATCACTCTAACAACGAAAAAAAAATTAAAGGAAAACCGAAAGAAAAAACCTTATAGTTCTTTTTCCCCTGAAGGTTTTCTCATGGTGAGCCTCCAAAAAGGAGGAGAGGAATTGGTGAAGGGGTTGGGGGTAGACATAAAGACCCCAAGCATGCACTTATATTATTTTTAGACATTAGAAACTGGATCGATATGAGTTGTCTGGATCTACAAGATGGATAGATAGATATTACATATATAAAATCTCATTTTAAAAAATAATTTCTACCTAAACAAAATGTTCATCTCTTTTAACAGATCAGGCAACCAAGCATATGTTTTTATTTTGGCTAGGTCCTTCTGTATTCTGTAAAGATTTGCTAAAGTGAGCTATCTTTTAGAAGGACTTTTCAAAACACATGAACTTAGTCTTCAGAAAGACTAAAAGATGATGGGATTGTTACTACAAACAAGTTTTGTTGAAATTTATCTTTAGAAATGCTTTGGTATATCTTCAAATTTATAAAATTTAAGCATATTCTGTTCATTAATGATTTCATATATTTAATATCTGTAGTAGAACAGTACTGATTAAAATTGATTTATTTTATTACTGTATATTTATCCTTTTACTAGCTTCAAGTTTACAAGTTTCAAGTTTCTGATTATCCTTTGAAGTGAGAAAAACAGGTTTAAAGTTTTTGTACTTTGACTAAGAAATACTGAAGTAGACATTTGGAGGATAAAAATAATGAATTCAGTTTCAAATATGTTGAATTTGAAGAACAGTCACACAGAGGTCTCCAGGAGACATGAGTGTAAGAAACAGATTTGTTGATGAAGTGGTCCTTGAAACCAGAAGGGAGGATGAGCTAGTCCCAAGAAAGCAGAAAATGGAAAAAAGAAAAAAAAAAAAAAAAAAAAAGACTGAACCCTAAAATATAGTATCATTTTAAAGATGATAGTTAACATTTTTCTTTAGAATTAAAGCAATTTCTTTATCCAACTTTACAGAGAATAGTAATCAATCATTAAAGTACAATTAAAAATTATGAGACAGTTGCCATTAAATCTTAGTTGTTTGTAAGTCTTTGTGGGTGCCTCCTGTAATCATTATCATGGAGGACATGTAATTTTTTTAGTTTTATTGTTTTTTACAATATTTCACTCTACTTTTTTACTCTCTTTTACTAATTATAGGTTTTACTATCAATACAATCTGAATATTTTCAATTTGTTTTATTCCATTTTAGTACTACATGATGGAATAATATTCTCCCATTGTTGGAATTAGAACCTTTCTAATTTTTCACTCAGATAAACAAAACCTACTTAAAAGTTGTAAACTTACTAAAACATTTTTTTCCTTTGGGAATATTTACCAAATGGGGTAATTAGATCAAAACTCATGATAAACTAGTTTCTCTTGTCAAAATTGTTAACTTTGATAAAAAAAAAAAAATTAGGCTGTGCTACAATAGAACACTTTTTTTTTTTTTAAAGATTTTATTTATTTACTTGACAGAGAGAGAGAGACCACAAGTAGGCAGAGAGGCAGGCAGAGAGAGAGGAAGGGAAGCAGGCTCCCTGCTGAGCAGAAAGCCCGATGCGGGGCTCGATCCCAGGACCCTGGGATCATGACCTGAGCCGAAGGCAGAGGCCTTAACCCACTGAGCCACCCAGGCGCCCCTAGAACACTTTTTTAGGCTCACTCAACCTGACCTGAGGTTTGTCATTTCAGTTTGCTTCTGAGTTATATACAGTTAATATGTATGGAGATAAAATAGTATTTTCCTCTTAGATTTAAATGCTCTCAATTGTTTTTGTTAAAGTTGACAGAGGGTAACATTTCTTTTAAGATTTGGAACTATTGCCTAAAATTTTCTGTTCTTAACACCATGAATGTTTCCTTGATGAGCCAAAAAATACCAGAAAGTGTGATGAAAGGCGGTATTTACTGTTAGGAGATGCATTATTCACAGAGCTACATAAAACAATTATTGTTAACAGGTTTTTTTTGGAAGTCTGAAGTTGAATATACCTGATTTATCTGAATGTAAGAAAAAAAATCTTTAGATTTATGAGAAAATAATTTTTAAGTTTTTTATAGGCTGGGCCATTAACCAAAGTGACTATATGCAAAGACAGAGAAGGAAAGCCGAAGACTTTTGGATTTGTCTGCTTTAAACACCCTGAATCGGTGTCTTATGCCATAGCTTTGCTGAATGGAATTCGTTTATATGGAAGACCAATTAATGTACAGTATCGATTTGGTAGGTCTTGCCACTGATGTATCTTCCAAGTGTGTTTTGTTGATGGTGTTCTCGGATCTGTAAATATTGTGTTTTCATAATGTAAGACTCAAAAAGTGCTCCTGTTGTCTCTGTTAAATTTTCTCAGAATACATGTAGACATTCATAATGTTATATGGTTAACTAGTATTGCCAGTCCTATAGCATCTTTTCTATATTAAAATTTAAACTGTTCTTAGTACCAGCCAGCAAGTAGCTATGATAGTTGCTGTTGGCTGTTTTAAATTTAGCAAATCTAAATGAATTGGGGGCACACAGTTCTAATCTTTGATACACCAAGGCCATTTGCTAATCTTCTTGTCAACTCTAGCGTATGGTATCAAATACCTGCTGTTTGGAAGGTAGAGTGAGAGGCTAATCATTCTCTTGGGAACACTAAACTCCACATCCTGCCCTGGAGCTAAGCCCTTGCAAGAGTACCTGGCCAAAAGCAGCCACAGAGTGACCCTCAGTCACTGTGGAGAAGAGCTTCCAGACACAAATGACCTCAAATGCCTTGTCCTACACACCTGTCAAAAGTGGGTTTGATACCAGAGAACATCGTACTAGCACTCTACCTCTCTCCTGTTTGGAGGGACTGAATGAGGCGATGCTTCTGGTGTCTCCCTCCCCGAAATGATGCAAGCCTACTGACAGATCCGTTGTTTGTTGATTTTCTTCCTCTTGTTAAACTAAAAACAGGTAATAAGAAAACAATACCTCATTGCAAAGGAAAAAGTTTCTCCTTGTGTTTCTTTTATTTATATTTTTAATGATTTCACAAAGGTGATTGGCTATATCATTGCTTTCAAGTACTGTTTGGTTAACTCACACAGACAGGTAAAATGGGCCAGAATGTACTGTGTTCTGATGCGTCCTAGCTGGCTGCTCAGCATCCTCTGGGAGGTTGCATCCATTTTGGCCAGTGCAGTTTAAAGAACTCTTGCATTCTCTGCAAGATGCAGATAACACTAATTTTTGCCATTGTTAGCCTACGAGCATGTAGAACAGCACAGTATCGTGTATCTTATGGTCCCATGTCAGTATCATTCTTCCGTACAGCCGTATTTTGGACAAAGCTTGGTTATAATTCAGTCATTCATTTGTTGTAAACAATCTGTAAATATTACTTGGGAGATCAAAGGTATGCTCAGGTACCTTATATGATTGAGGAATTTTAACCAATGCTACATCCTTTTAGGTTTGGAATTTTTCTATGGTTTAACAGTAGAACTTCAAAAAATTGTACCATTAAGTTATTTGTTATCTTTTTCTTATACAGGGAGCTCTCGCTCTTCTGAACCAGCTAACCAAAGTTTTGAGAGCTGTGTTAAGATAAATTCACACAGCTACAGGTAATTAAAAATATTTTTTCAAAAAAATAAAGGAAATAAATATGGGAGAAATAGGAGGGGGAGACAAACCATGAGAGACTGTAGACTCTGAGAAACAAACTGAGGTTTTTGGAGGGAAGGTGGGGTGGGGGGTTGGGTGAGCCTGGTGGTAGGTATTATGGAGGGCGTGTTTTGCATGGAGCACTGGGTGTGTTGCATAGACAGTGAATTTTAGAACATTGAAAAGTAATTTAAAAAAAGGGAAAAATTCCAAAAAAAGTGTTCTTATGTAAGAAATAGCTTAATATTTTAATATTTTAATTAAAATATTTTAATAATCAAAATATTTTTATTTAAAGTTCAGCTTTAATATTTTCAATGGTAGGTAAGAAAGATTTATATTTCTAGTGTTCTTTATGATTTAACTTGTGTTTTTTATAGATGTAAAATCACTTAAGCTTGCAAGGTGCCATTGTGATGGATCATAGAGATGCTATTATCCATATCTTGTACTTGAATAAACAGAGATGTAAAAGTTAACTAAGTTTCAGGGTCATAAAGATGAAAAAGTGATAGTTGCTAGGCTTGAAATTAAGCCTTCTGACTTTAAGTCATTCTGTTATTTATTGTACTACTTTTTAGAACTTCTTTATGATAATTTTCCAAATATTCTAAAATTTTGTATTGGCTGATTTCTTGATGCAATGGTAGCCTCTAAGGACTCTGTCAGGCAGAGGTCTCTCTGTTATCCCAGAGGTCATGGAAAAGAAAGGCTCTGAAACTGAATTAAGATGTCCAAATTACACCATTTATTAAACCAATTTAGAGACACAGTGAAAAGCAACAGGAAAGATCCTGGATAGTTCCACACACTTAGCATCAGGTGCAGGTGGACCAAAGGACCAGCACGCTCTGTTCTGATTATGCTAATATTCGTGTGTCATGTTTCTTTCTGCAGCATCAGCCTTCCTTACTGCTAGTGTGATTAATGAGGGCTAGAGTTGAGGTTTAATAAGGGTCTCCATGCATATGGAAAATTCCTGGAGCTAATCTTACTTGCCCACTCTCTCAAAGAGACTTAGGGGCAAATACACAGAACCACAGGAGTCACTTCCTGGCTAATCTGCCAGATGCACCCAGATTTTAACTGAATTTCTGAGGCAGAGCAAAGACAAGAAGAGCAGCGTAACTGTTAGCCCAAGGGTGACGTGATAAGGACAGTCTGTTTCTTTCCCATTTTGGTCTATAACACTCTTACTTATTCCACATATTATCGATTGAATCTATCTGTAGTACACTTGACGGGATAGTAACTTTTTTATTGTCTGTCTATATTTAACATATATTATAAATTCTGCCTGTATCTCCCAAGTGATTTGCTTATTCTGTTCCTAACAAGGTTTTATCACTGTCCCATAAACTACTAGCTTATTTAGAGTCTATTACAAGCATTTCATCCATCTTGTTTGTTTCTGTCTTCTGCAGCAGAACTGAATATTCTCATGTAAACTAACAGTAGCTGAAATTCTTCTGTCTCTCTGAGGCATAAGAGAGTGCCACTGAGGACTGGCAATTACACAGGCTTATCTATAGGAAAAGTATTGCCTCCTAAATAAAACACAGTATGTTCCACATCTTCATTCTTCCCAGCATTTCTGTATCAATGAAATCAGGAGAAGTTAAAAAGTAGGGGCTGATATCAAATTATGTGAACTTAAATCTTGCTTTTGCCATTTTATTAATGGTATGACTTTGGATGAGTTATTTCACCCCACTGTAACCGGTCTCTAAAACAAGGATCATACCTCAGAGATTATTGTGATAATCAAATTTTGTAATACAGTGTATTTAAAATACTGGACACATAGTAAGTATTCAGTAAATACTTTCAGCCAATGTTACCAGAAAGGAGGGAGTGATTTACTGTGTTGGTAGGAAACCTAGTATTGAGCCGTGTATGTAATATGAGAGTTTCCTCTCTTCTACTAGTGGGAAAGCATACCTAATTTTTCTCAAAAATGAGGAAGAAACAAGCTATTGCTGTTTGGGCAGAGGTAGAAAGACAAGCACTTGAAGATGTCATAACTTTTGTATTCTGTGTTTATGGTTGACAAACTAAATTATCTCAAATTCTAGAGTAGAAAATCAGAATTATATGTATATTCCGTAACAGTATACTTCATTGGCAGTACCTTATCTTCTAGTATTTGTTACATTATAAAGGAAAAATGAGAATAGGTTATAGTGTCCTAGAAGTAATGTGATGGTATACATGGTATAGCCTTAGTCTTTCCCAGGTCTTTCTTTGAAAAGGATTTTTTTAATGCTTCTATTGCCTCTCATACCATTTGTTTTTAATAAATAGTTCCTGTATTAGTTTACTAGAGCTCCCATATAACCACAAAGAGGTACTTAAACAACAGAAATGCATCGTCTCACAGTTCTGGAGGCTCAAAGTCCGTGATCAAGGTGTCCACATAATTAGTTCCGTCTGAGGGCTATGAGAAATAATGTTCTGTGTCTCTCCCATAGTATCTTCTGGTTATTTGGCAGTCCTTGATATTCCTTGGCTTGTAGACACATCACCCAGATCTTTACACGATGTTCTCCTGTGTATACCTGTCCTTAACTTTCCCCTTTTTAAAAGACAACAGTCCTGTTGGATTAGTGACTCATCGTATTCCAGTATGACCTCGTCTTAACCAATTACATCTGCAACAACCCTGGTTCCAAATAAGGTCGGATTCTGAGGTATTGGGGGTTAGGACTCCAACATAGAAATTTTGGAGTGACACAGTTCAGCTCATAACTCTTCCCAATTTACATGTGATTCATCTCTCTAAACAACTATGCATTCCCTGGGAGTCACACAGGAAAGATAGTGGTTTTAGAGAATCTGCAGCTGTTTTCATAATGGTGCTAGTCTCAGCACTTCTGCTACTGCGGTCATATCTTCCCCACTCTATAATCTCATTGCACTTTTTCTTTGTTTCTTTACTATCACTTACTCTACACACACGTTCTCGTCTGCTCCAGCCTTGTCTCCAAATCAGACTGTTAAATTTTTCCGCTTCTTCTCCCTGAAAAATCTTTCATCGTCACATGCTTACTTCCTCCATGCTTCTTAACCACCATTGTTATATGGAAGGTGCTCTTTTAAAGGTTATCAGGAATCTTCTGAACAATAATTCAGTAGTTTCAATGCTTATTTGGTTTACTTTTTTATAACAACTAACCCCTAATTCCTTCCTTAGTGAAATTTACTCTTCCACTGGTATTTGCGATACTGCTCTCACCTCTTATAAATGGGATGTCCACCTCTCCATCTTACTCCTGTCGTTCACCTGCCCTCAGCTTTGCCTCCGCCTTTCCCACAGCACACCTCCTTTCCTAAGGATTATTAGTATTTGCATTAAAATTGTGGAATGCTGTGGAGCATGTAGATAAGTGAAGGCTAGCTATAGAATCTAACTAGTAATTGTAACTGAAATTTATTAAACATCTTCATAGAATTAAATATTACATTTGTAAATGAAACTTTAGCTTTAGTCTTTAAATTAGGGATTTTTATTATCTTAATTCATGTGTAAAAAAAATCCACAAACGTGACTTTATGGTAACATTAGCAGTCCATTTAGGAATGAGCATAATTTTTATAGCTAAACAGTGAAGATATTTTCAACAATAAATTAAAGAAAATTTCTATATTTCTTTCATTTCTTTAATCTGTAGAAGATTGAATGTACCCTTGGTGATTACTAATGACTTGCTTTGCTCTCTTCATATGCAAGTGTCTATTTCTTTATACACATATAATGCTGTTTAACATTTTCCTGTCAGAAGGCCAGATGTGACTTTAAGTATTGAAATTTTCGTTAGGTAGCAACTAATAAGACTTAAGGTAGTATTGTGTCACTATATTATCAGTATAATATCTGATTATTTGTGTACACATGTTTAAAGTTAATCTTAACTGAGTTGTCTTAGAGAAGCTTTGTTTTTTAATTACAAGACCTTTTCTTTTTTTAAGAAAAAGACATTTTGTGTAGGGATTTTAACTTTCTGTGAATTTTTCTTTTACCTCCCCAAAGAAATGAAGAAATTGTGGGCAGATCTTCCATTCCCATGCAGTTCTTTCCAATTAATAGTGCAGCTTTACCTCAAGAATATTTTTTCTTTCAGAAGATGGTAAGTTTAATATGCCTGTGGTTCAATGTATAATATGAATCAGACTGTGATGGAACTTAAAGTTCTCAAACCTAAACCTGGGGTGAAGGCAGAAGCTGCCCTGAGTACTGTCTCCCCAGTGGCAGCCTGCTTGAACGCAGTCCTCTTCAGCCTCACACCTAGTCCTTCAGCAAGCGGTGTCAGCACAAGAGGGTGGATGTAGTGACACTGCCCTGTGGTCCAGGTACACCTGGAGGAGTTCTCATTTAAACTTTAATTTAATTTAGATTCTCAATGGTAGGGTAAACTATGTTATTTCCAGAGACTCTCAATAATATGGTTCTGGCCTAGAAATCCTAATTATGGTCACAATAAGTTAAAGGGGAACTTAGGAATTTTTTTTCTTCCTACTTCTCATTTTATACATAATAAAATTGAGGTCCAGGGATATTAATCGGTAGACCCAAGGCAGTACAGCTTATTAGAGACAGATGTGGGACTATAACACAGGTATTGTGGTTCACAGCGTGTGATTGTTGTGAACATCCAACATGTCTGTGAGCTTCAGACTTTTCAAGTAGCCCTTTTCATTTATTTTGTAAACATAAGGAAAATGGGGAATTTAAGTTTTGGAAAAAAATTTTTCTTAGTTACAGTGAGATATTAAAAACAACCTGTTCTCATCCAAAATTGTCAATATCCTTCTTCCCAGCATTTGTTATCCTTGGTAGGGATGAGAAACACAGAAACACAGCACACGCACATACACACTTGTGTGTGCACACACACAGAGTTCATGTTGTCTCTATTAATCTGTAGTCTACTTTGAATAGCTAAAAATTTGAGTTAGAAACAAGGAGGCGTCTATCTTAATAGTTGACAAAGATGCTGTACCATCCATCCTGTGGCCATTAGCCACATGTGAGACTAAGGAGCACAGTTTTTAGTTTTATTTAATTTTAACTTTTATTAAAATTTAAAGGCACATACTTGGTTCAGTTATTAGAATATTTTTAAGAATATTTGCAGAAACTTGGGTATGTGAATCTACTTTTTTAAATGCAAATTTTAGGTAATCTAAATTCAGATCAAGTATTTTCAGTGAAAATGTAGCATCCAAATTGAGAAGGCTGTAAGTATAAAATGCACACCAAATTTCAAAGACTTAGTGTAGAAAAAGGAACGTCAGATATCTCATTAATGATTTTTATATTGTTTACATGTTGAAATTACAATATTTGGGATTTGGGGGGATAAATAAAATACATCATTAATGGCACCTGTTTCTTTTTTATTTCTGTATTGCGGCTACTAGGAGAAGATACAAAACTGTGTATGTGGCTTGTGTTCTATTTCTCTAAGGCAGAATCTGTATTGTAATAAGCTGTACACTACCCTGAATCTTTCCATTGACAATTTAAGGGAACTACCACATTCCTGTTTTAGAAGGTCACTGTCCTAACACGTGGTTTAGTTTGCCGGTAGTTTTTTGTGTAATGCATGTAAACTGTTAACTTTTTCTTTTAATGTTTCGGACTTGTTTTGCTAGATGATTGTCCTTTTTTCCCAGCAGTGGCCCGCCTACAATCCAGCCCTGCCGCTGCCGTACTATGAGATGGCAGCCCCGCTTCCTAACAGCGCATCTGCAACGTCTTCACTGAACTGTGCTCCAGATCTGGAGGCTGGACCCAGCTCCTACGAATGGACTCACCAACAACCCAGTGACCCTGACCTGTATCAGACGAATAAACGAAAGAGGCAAAAACAAACCAGTGACAGTGATAGTAGCACAGAAAACAAGAGAGGAAATGAATACAGCCAAAAGTTCCGAAAGTGTAAGAAAAAGAAAAGATATTAGCATTATGTTCACAGGAAATTTGTCTATGCTGGTCTTCATTTTCTTAGAAAAAAAACAACAACCTATATTCTTCTAAATGACCAATTTCTTGTGTTTTTTTGAAATATATACTATGACATCTGATTTGCTATTTCATTTTTGTCTTGAATGACAAAAACTTATAAATAATACAGTGTAGTACTTTTTGTAACAGTATTTTTGACACATTGTCAACAAGAAATATGAGTTGTTATATTTTAGTACTGATGATGAAACTGCACGAAATGATGAATCAGAAGTCACTCACTGAGCCCTTGTGGATAAGGCCCCTGCTCTCCTAGACTGTTGCCTGCAAGGAGTGGTGGGTTTGGGCAACTGTTAGGAGTCTCATGTTGTTCCTAACAAAGAGGGAGAAGCAGGCATTAGTTTCCTTTGTGAATATGATTTTATTTTTTAAGTCTGTATATGTTCCTTCTGAGCCTTACTTTCCTACAGGTTTATTTCATAAAATGAGAATATCTGACAGTGATACCAAAGGAAAGATGACTATCATGGGACTAGTTTTTAGATCGTTCCTTTTTTATATGAGTGTATATAAAAAATACCGATGTGGTTACTTCTCACTTAATTGTAGTTCGTGAAAATGAGTTGGCTATGACAGTATTTATTATGCACCTCTTTTGCCAACTGGGTTTGAGATAGTATATTTGACATACTTCAATCTTGATAATGAACAATAAATAGAATGATATTTCATTAATATATGATACTTAATATTTACTCTTAAATCAGGTTTCTTATTTCTGGTTCATTTATTTTTAGAAGACAAATAGAGTACATGTAAAATTCATGGTTTATTTGGACACTTTGTTAACTTTGTGGCTCATCCTAAGCATACACGATGCTACATATGAACTACAGTGACATAATGATGACAGTATCTATTTACTAAGGCTAATTAAGAGAATCCTGCAACTTTGATTGAGGGGTACCCACCCACTTCAATAGGAAAAGCCATGCTTATAGATATCTCTTTTGCAGGTTGCATAGCACTTTATAGATCTTTATTTAAAATAATAAAGATGTTTTTAGCAAAATGAGTAATTGAATTTAACTTTTGACTATAAACACACAGTGCAGTAGAGTTTTGAATATAAATATTAATCCATTTCTATCTGATGAACATGAAAACTTAAATACTGTTTGATATAGCTTGATCTATATATGTTGTACGCTCCTGAATAATCAGACTACTTTCTTTTTGCCTTCACATTTTTGCAATTTAAAACATCTTCAACACTTATACCTATAGTTCACCTTCGCCCTACAGTATTTCATAGTGATTGACATTATAGAAAATATATACCTAAGAAGTGTCTCTTAGCAAGTAAGAGTGTATATTTGTAAGAGAATTACCTTGAAATACTGTTACATGAACCGAAATCTTAGAACTGCGAGGAATTCTTGCAACTTCTTCCATCACAGGCAGGAATAACCCCAATACCAACTTTAGAAAGTCAGCCAATTTGAGCCAACCAGAAGAAGGCAAAGACACCTATTTGCCCTTGCTGTGTTTAATTTTTAAAAAAATAGAAAACTTTCCTTAAAATGTTACTATAATCTACAGTTCTGTATAATTTTAAACCATCTGTTTTCCCAGTGCTGTGTCTTTGAGTTAAAAATTCTATAAATTATTTGCCTTAGAGGGTTTTATTTTTCTAATTTTAATTCTCTATTCTCACAATGTATGTTTTTATGTATGTGTACATTCTATTGCAAATGCTAGGAGAAGGCTGGAATTTGAGAACCAAAGTAATTATCTTTTTATTCTCATATTCACTAATTTTTTAATGAATTTTTATAATGCATCAGTCAGTGGCAAAACCATTGAGAAAAATTACTTAGAATTAAAGTTGGTCAAAAAGATGAGTGCAAAACACACCCTTGAAATCTTTACTGAAATTATGCATCCTGAACTGTGATTCAAGATAACTATGTGTAGCTACTAAGACGGTTGTCCCCTTTGAAATCTTAGCATTAAAAGCTACTATTACAAGATTAGCAATAATTAATTTATTATAACGACACAAAGTTCTGATGGAATAATATTGGTCATCTGTTTAGAGTGTAATGAAAGAAAAAAGAGTTAATTATTACACTTTCTTTAGCACTGTCTGGGTGCAGGAACATTGTACACCGAGTAGTCAACCTCTTCCTGTGTATGGCTAAATTCTAATAAATTATTGGGCAATTAAAAAGTGAAATTTTCATCTCTTGCCAATGCAGTACTTCTGAAACCATATCCCCAGACTGTCTCCTCCAGTGCCTACTGAACATTCCCTCCTGAATGTCTCATTAGCAATACAAACTCAACACTTTCAATATTACCCCAATTTTTCGGTCTCCCAGTTTCCTGCCCCATTTTCTTCTGTGATCACTGTGGACCAGTATTTCACTATGGACTGGGTGCTGGAGGGTTGGAACAGTTGTTGACCTCACTTCAGTGCCTGAAGAGAGAACTGTTTCAGCCTCTCTCAGCCTTTGTGCCTTCCTGAACAATGATGAAGCACTCTTGATGTTAAGTACTTAAGGAAATTAAAATAAGCCTAAATATGTTTAAGGACTGGGCATACTCTCCTCAAGGCAGATGCGCCTCATGACGGATGTGGTTTAAATAGCTGCTCCTGGATGATAGTGTGGCCCTTTGCTCCCCTTGTCTTCCTTGTCCCTAGGAAGAAAGGCTGGAGGAGTGGGGTTGGCTCTTAGAACACCATCCTAAAGAACTGATGGGACACTAACCGAACTACTCAGGCCTGTAGTCAAAGCTCAGTTTAAAGTGTCCATATCCTACCTCTATTTTCCATTTCTATACATCTTAGCAAAGCTAGTTACATCAGAAATAAGAGCCTCTCATTAATGTATTTCCCATTAAGAAATATGAATTAATAGCCTGGGTTTGATTTTGGGTAAAATGAGGACTAATACATAAATCTCCACAGAAATTATATTTGAATGCAGAAAGTTCAAAGGACACCTTTTAAACAAAGGATGATGTCTACTTCTGTGCCGCAAGCCTGAGGAAGCTCAGTGAGCACAACTTCTCCAGGTTGCAATCAGTGATATTTGCTGAAGTTGTCAGTGATATTTGATCAGACTGGGTTCTACAGAGTCACATGATACCGCAACTGTGGACTAAGTCAATTAGCAGTCATGCCCAGTCTGCAAAAATTATTTCATGTGCCTGCAAAAACTGCCTTAGCAGGTGAAATCCAGTAGTCTATTCTCTGGTTCCCTGTAAAATTTCCTCTCGAGCTCCCAATACCATCTTGTTATAATATTAACAGGTTTTTTTAAGGATTAAGAAACACATGGGCTACTTGCATTATAATTAGAAGACCTAAACAGTATGTAAGAATAGACTGTCATAAATTTCCTGTGTTATAAACTCTGGGAATGATTGGCACCTAACAAGCTTACATAATATTACCTGCTGCAAGGAACCTGGATCTAACAATAGCCGTTTCAACTACTTGACCTTGTTTGGGGAGCTTAAATGAAAACATGCTTTAAATGAATAGTGTTGATCAGTCCAACACACTATTTGAAACCCAGTAATTATTGTCTTTGCTTCTATTTCTATGTGAGACAATTAGTAATATCCTGAATAGGAAAATAACTCTCGTCCCAGATGCTTGCCCCAGGCTGACAACAAATCTTCATTGATTTTATCCCACTTCCAAGTTAATCACAAGGGAAACATTGCAGACTCTCCTGCATGCCAATCAAAACCCTGGGAGTTAGTCTAGACAATTCCATTCACTGCATTTCTAAGTGGTCATTAACTTCTCATTGTGACCTTGTTCAGGTTGTTTTCATTTCCTGCTTGGAGTATTCATTAGAACAAATCAATCAACAAGGAATGATTATCATTCCAAACACAGATTTTGGTGCCGAGGCCACAGCATCAGTGGAAAAATTTGATCCCAACATTCAAGGAGTTTATGATCTTCCGGCTTAGATGGACAGTTAGAAAGGTGATTTCAGGATAATGCTACAACATAATAGAGGTAAACATGGAGTGCAATGATGGGAGGCACGAGACTCTCCATTCCTCAAGAAAATTAATCCTGGGAGGAAGAAAGGCAATCACCTGGATACACACACACATAAAGGATATTTAGGCGTGCCTGGGTGGCTCAGTTGGTTAAGGGACTGCCTTCGGCTCAGGTCATGATCTCGGAATCCCGGGATCGAGTCCCCGCATCAGGCTCCCAGCTCCATAGGTAGTCTGCTTCTCCCTCTGACCTTCTCCCCTCTCATGCTCTCTCTCAATCTCAAATACATAAATAAAATCTTAAAAAAAAAAAAGATATCTGGTAGTCCAATTTTTCATCCTGTCTCTCAACTCTCCTCACATTTTTAGCCTTGTTCTTCACCTGTCCTTAGAAGAGTGTCTCCAAGTATTAAATCTGTGCAAGTAAAATGGCTTGCCTCCTGTCAGTATCACCCCAACCTCTTAAGGATACAGGAACTTGGGTTATGAAGATCATTTAAAAAAAAAGATGGGATTGGGAGGGAGACAAACCATAAGTGACTCTTAATCTCACAAAACAAACTGAGGGTTGATGGGGGGAGGGGGGTTGGGAGAGGGGAGGTGGGGTTATGCACATTGGGGAAGGTATGTGCTATGGTGAGTGCTGTAAAGTGTGTAAACCTGGCGATTCACAGACCTGTACCCCTGGGGATAAAAATATATGTTTATAAAAAAATTAAAAAAAAATTAAAATAAAATAAAAATAAAGGAAAAAAAATCATGTTCTTAGGGAACAGTCTAGTGGAAAGAGAATAGGTAAGATAAATAACACATAAAGTTGGATATTAATAACTGATAACTGCTGAGGAAAACAATTTTTTTTTAAGGGAAATGTTTAGGGACTAAAAACCTCAAAGCAGGAGAGAAAGTAAGCCACGTGCATATCTGAGGGAAGAACACCAGGCAGAGGAAATGGCAGATATAAAGGCCCCTATGGAGGAAGCATTCCAGGGAAGAAAGGGAAGGAAGCTAATA